TTCCCTGCTTTCCGCCCCCCCATCCGCCACTGGCCAGTTCACTGGTGGGGGAGCCCCACCCCCCAAAAGAACCATCGCGCCCAATGTGCCCAGCATGATGACATCACTGGGCATGTCGTGCGGGGGACACTCTAGAGTTTGGGTAGAAACTCTATGGTGGCCATAGAGTTTTTTTTTACCCAAATGCTAGAGCATCCCCCACATGACGTGCCCAGCACAATGACATCACTTCTGGGTGATGTCATCATGCTGGGCACATTGGGTGCATGCCAGAAGACTCCAGGAGCTGGACTGGAGCCCCCCAATGGGACCCAGGTAAGACCTGGCAACTTTAGAGATACACTGTACTGTGCCCCTTGCCCCCAGCCTCTTGACCCCCATCTGCCAGCCATCTTTGCCTGTCTCCTCAACCCAGAGCCCCCCAAGCACGCCTCCTCAAACTCTGGTTCTGGACAGGGGGGGAAACAGAGCGGCTGAACTATGAGCACGGTGTGGGGGGGGGGGGAGCCTGATGCTAACATTGCCGGTGGTGAAATAGTTGTGGTGGGGCCGTTCCCGTCCCTTTCGTGTTCCCTTTCAGCGCTGCCCCTCTTTGTAGCGCATGCGTGATGCTATTTATAACCCGATCGGAATTTTTAGCTTGTGATAAGTCGTGACTTGTCATGTGCGGTACGCTCACACCACTGTGAGGAAGGTGAAAGCCAAAACACGTTTGGCGTTCCAAATTATGTGATAAATACATATTGGTTGTTCTTGATAAAGTGTGTGTGTGTGTGTGTGAAGTGCTTTTAAGTTGCACGGTGACCCCAGAAAGGGGCTTTCAAGGCCAGTGAGAAGCAGAGGTGGTTTTCCCTTGCCTTCCTCTGCAGAGCCTTCCTTGGTGGTCTCCATTCCTAAGGGCCGGCCCCAGCATATTTTGCACCCTAGGCGAGGATCCCTTCTGGCGCCCCCCCCCCATGCGCCCCCCGTCAGAGGCAGCAGGGGTGCTTTTGGCGGGGAGTGGGTGCAGTTTGGCGCCCCTAAGGGCCGGGGCGCTCGAGGCGAACGCCTAGTTCGCCTAGTGAGCGAGCCGGCCCTGCAAGTACTGAGCCTGCTTAGCTTCCGATATCTGACAAGACTGGGCTATGCCACGCCACTTTCCCTCCCTCTTCAAAAACTAGGTAAGTGATATTGCTAGACTATATATTCATACGAGTAACCGCCGTTGATCTGAAGCAACAGAACAAAGTTTGAGTTCCAGTGGCACCTTCAAGACCAAAAAAGTTGGCTATTTACCCGTGTGTAGGCAAGGGTCAGGGACCCAAAGAGGGCCACGGTGAGGAAGAAAGGTTGTGCGTTGAACCTCGGGTCTTTGGGACATTCTGATACATGGATGGATGAGTTTCATTTGTTTCTTATTCTAACCACCAGGGGGAGCAAGTCCACCCACCTCGTAAGAGTATGATTTTAACGAGAAACAAACTTCTCAGCCCCTAGATTTGGAAAATAACGGACAGAATTTCTAAGAGCTTTCTATCAAATAGTATATTTGATGCACAGAATTCAGATCAATGTCCCCCCGTCCCCCCGCCAACAAAACACAGACACTGTTTTTAGCTGAAAGTGTGATGTGATAGTTAGTGTATCAGACTAGGGTTTGGGCACAGTTGCCAACCAGTGTTCCCCCTAAGCTGAGTTCGTGTGAGCTAGCTCACAGTTTTTTAGCCTCCGGCTCACACATTTTTGTCTTAGCTCAGGAAGGAGGGCTCCAGAGCAAACTAACTGATGCAGTAGCCAGATCGCTCACTCACAACTTTAATGCCCAGTAGCTCACAAAGTAGAATTTTTGCTCACAGGACTCCACAGCTTAGAGGGAGCATTGTTGCCAACTCTGGAGTCAAAAATACCCGGAGATTTGAGGGTGGGCTTTATGGAGGGGAGGGCCCTCGGCAGGGTATAATGCCATGCAAAGCAGCCATTTGTTTCTCCAGAAGTGGAGTAAGTATTTTATATCAACAATAATTTTATATAAACAACAAATCATAAGCTATCTATGTAGTCTGGAGATCAGTTGTAATTCCAGGAGATCTCCAGCCCCCAACTGGAGGCTGGGAACCCTCGGTCTGGGAGACCCAGATTCGAATCCCCACTCTGCCATGGCAGCTCGCTGGGTGACCTTGGGCCAGTCACATGTTTTTGGCCTAACTTACCTCACAGGGTTCTTGCAAGGATAAAGAATGGAGGAGAGGAGAAAGATCTAAGCTGCTCTGGGTCCCCGTTGGAGGAAAAGATGAAGTAAGTAAATGAGTAAACAAATTGGCCCTTGCGCAGTAGTGCACTGTGGCTAGGGAAATGCATTGCCCTCTGTATGCATAGGTGGAACTATTAAGATGTGGTCAAGGACAGGACACCGTTGCAGGAGTTTTGTAGACACCTATTGGACAGTGCCTGTGATGTCACCAAGGGGAAGCCACAATAGTCCCCCCCCCCATGTTCTGAACATTTACCAAGGGAGGGAAGAGCTGCCTGGAGTTCTATTATTCCCCCTTCCCGACACCCCCGCAGTCTCTTTTAGCAGGAAAAGCAAGAAGGCTTAAGACTGAGTACAAGACTGGCAGGGAAGGGAAAGTGTCTACTCAACTGTGCCCTTTAGCTGTTTGTCTGCTCGAAATCAACCACCACCCCAACCCTTTCCCCCCTGTGTGCGTTTTGTGGTTGGTCAGGGCTTTCTTCTTCTCTTTTGAAAAAGAGGTGCCAGAACTCTCAAGGGGGAAGTGAAGTTTTCAGTCTGTATACTGAAAACTCACTGACTTTTAAACATCTTAAAAAGAATTTTGTCGAAGAGGTTCCGGAACTCTGCTCCGGCACGTCCCCCCAGACAAAAAGCCCCGGGATTGGTTGAGCTAACATCCGGAAAGGGGAGACTTAAATGCCCCCCTTTTCTCTGGAACTTTAAATAGGAGCGAGGGCCCATCAGAAAGAAAACATTTTTGAGTGGGGAGGAGGGATCTTATAAAGAGCGTCAAATGTTTGGTAGGCTGTGGGTCTGTAGGAGGGATGGGGGCTCTCGTGGGGCCTGGCCTGGACCCGGAAATCATCACTTACATCCTTGACAAACTTCCACTTGAAGATCCTCTCGGGGGGAATCGAGAACTTCGCACCGCACTGCAGAACGGTGATGTCACCTTCGGCTTTGTGGATGGACTGAACTGGAGTCGGGGAATGCAAACAGAGAGAGAGACAGACACACACACAAACCGAGAAGGAACTTTCCGTTAGAAGGGCCCTAATCTTAGACATGGTTAAGCTGGTTAAGCTATGAGCCTAGTCCTCTGGCTCTTCCTATGAAAATGGGCAAAAGCTACCCAAGGGAAGGGAGCACAGGCCTTTCAGTTATGCCTACCTCTGGAGCTTGTAGTAAAGGTAAAAGGTAAAGGTTCCCTTGCTCGAAAGCCAGTCGAGTCCGACTCTAGGGTTGCGGTGCTCATCTCCGTTTCAAAGCCGAAGAGCCAGCGCTGTCCGAAGACGTTTCCGTGGTCATGTGGCCGGCATGACTAAGCACCAAGGCGCACGGAACGCTGTTCCCTTCCCACCTAAGTGGTACCTATTTATCTACTTGCAATTTCTTGCTTTCGAATGGCTAGGTTGGCAGGAGCTGGAACTAGAGACGGGAGCTCACTCCATCATGCGGCACACCCGGGTCTCGAACTGCTGAACTACTGACCTTCCACAGCCTGCCGTTCAGCGTCTTAACCACTTGAGCCACCACAGCTCCTATGGAGCTTGTAGACAACATTCCAATTGCTGTCATTCAGGCCACAAGTGCGAGGTGAGGCAGCAGACTGACACTCTCACTCCCCCCTCCCATGCAAGGGTCCGGCTTCTGTTGAGAACAGGGTGACCAACTTCGGGCTAGGGAATTCCTGGAGAATTTTGGGGGTGGAGACTGGGGAGGGACCTCAGCCAATGATAATGCCACAGAGACCGCCCTCCGACGCTGCCATTTTCTCCCATGGAGCTGATCTCTGTAGCCTGGAGGCCAGTTGGAGATCTCCAGGCCCCACCTGGAGGTGGGCGATCCAAGCTGGGGACCCAGTCCCAGCTAGACACCCTCATTTCGAAAGGAGGGGGAAGAAGTAACTTTGGTCGCCAACAGGTCCTGGAGAAAAATGTCATCTCCTTTTAATAGAGAAGATGAGAAGAGATTGGATTTATATCCCACCTTTCACTTGGAGTCTCAGAGCGGCTTACAATCTCCTTCCCCTCCCCCTCCCTACAATAGACACCCTGTGAGGTAGGTGGGGCTGAGAGAGCTCTTTCGAGGACTGCTCCTGAGAGAAGAGCTCTGAGAGAACTTGTGACTGACCCAAGGTCACCCAGTAGCTGCATGTGGAGGAGTGGGGAATCAAACCCGGTTCTCCCTAACCCCTATATCAAACTGGTTTAATGAGTGGAAATGTACAAGTGAAGGTTTTAAAGGCGTGGAGGTAAACAGTGCCACTGGGTTAATAACATCCTATTTGCCCTTTCTTTAATGTCTAGGGCTTTTTATTTTTCTTCCTGGGTTGCTGGCAACCAAAAAAGTAAGACAGCTTTCCGTTATATTTGGGTCCAGAGAAACCTAAGAACTCCATCTGCCGCTGGTGTTCTGAGAGCCCGTGTAGTTTCGTTGTCAGATTGGTGCCTGGGAGACTCGGGTTCGAATCTCCCCTCTGTCATGGAAGCGTTGCCGGGTGACCTCGGGCCAGTCACATACGCTTGGCCTAACCTACCTCACAGGGTTGCTGTGAGCGTGAAACGGAGAGGAGGGAGGAAAAGTAAGCCTCATTGGGTCCACATGAGAGGAGAAAGGTGGGGGATAAATGAATCAAATAAACAAATTCTTGGGTTAATCTTTAATTCCCAGAAGCCACTCTGGTTATGGATCTCCAGCATTTCATTCCCTCCTCCTGTGGCCCAAATGATGGAGCCTCCAGGTGGGACCCTCGGGTTCTCCCGGAATTACAGCTGATCTTCAGGCTACAGAGATCAGTTCCCCCAGAGGAAAGGGCCGATCTGGAAGAAGGACTGTACAGCAGGGGTGTCGAACTCATTTGTTATGAGGGCCGTATCTGACATAAATGAGACCTTGTTGGGCCGGGCCACGTGTGTCATCAAATGTAATGCCAGGTAGCGGAGATAAAAACTTTGTGAAGGACACAAACACAAAGGGTTTTCTTTTACTTAAAATAAAAACATGCTCAACACATTAGCACTCTTGCCATATTTTGTTTATTTAACAGTGTCTGATAATTGACACCTCTTGCGCTGAATTATTGTGTCAAAATGTCTGTGCTGTTGCAATCCTGAGTATGCTGTTCAGGTGTGTGTCTGTAAGCTGCAAACCTACGATGACGCAGCAGCAGAACTGGAAGAAGCAGCAGAAGACAGCCAGTTCCACTGCGGGCCTGATAGAAGCCCTCTGGGGGCTTGACCCGGCCCACGGGCTGCATGTTTGACACCCCTGCGTGTACAGCATCATATTCCCATGGAGCTCCCGTCCCTCCCCAGACTGTATTCCGTAGGCACCATCCATAAATCTCCTGGAATATCCCGAGCCAGAGTTGGTAATCCTAGGATGGAGCAAAAGAAGGTTCCAAGAAAAGGCAGACACAAATCTCACAAGGCAATAATATCCACAGCAAATCCGTGAACAAGAAATGGGGGCGGGGGGGGACAGGGGGCCATGTGGCCGGCATGACTAAACACCAAGGCGCATGGAACGCTGTTCCCTTCCCACCGAGGTGGTACCTATTTATCTACTTGCAATTTCTTGCTTTCGACCTGCTAGGTTGGTAATCCTAGGATGGAGCAAAAGGAGGTTCCAAGAAAAGGCAGACACAAATCTCACAAGGCAATAATATCCACAGCAAATCCGTGAACAAGAAATGGGGGCGGGGGGGGAGGGGGGGGCATACTTGGGCAGTTGATAGGCAGCGGGCAGTCGGTAATCCGGCAAGTGTTGCATCTGTAGGAACGGGCCTCTTTCTGGAAACCTGCGAGGGATGACAAAGGCTGCTGGGAGGGGGGGGTGGCGAAAGCCAGGGATGCTGGGGCGAGGGCGAGATTCAGCCCAGAAGTGGGACCCTCTCAGAATGGGGAAGGAGGAGAGGAAAGCACTCAGATTTTGGACTCACCACATGGTGGGATGCAGGGTGGAGCTGTGGAGGAGACAGGGAAGGCGGTGTTTTAGAAACGGAGTTTGACGTATTTCATAGAATCATAGAGTTGGAAGGGATCTCCAGGGTCATCTAGTCCAATCCCCTGCACAATGCAGGAAATCCATAAATACCTCCCCCCCACAACCCCAGTGACCCCTGTTCCACGTCCAGAAGATGGCACAAAAAACCTCCAGGATCTCCAGCCAAACTGGCCTGGAGAAAAATTGCTTCCTGACCCCTGATCAGCATTTTCCTGGGGGTGTAAGAAAGGGGCCACGAGAACTGAGCACTGAGGCAACCCTTCCTGCCCTCCCTCTCATGATCTAAGTTCACAGAATCAGCATTGCTGACAGATCCCTGTATTTGAAAACCTCCAAATGAAGAGAGCCCACCACCTCCCGAGGAAGCCCGTTCCACTGAGGAACCGCACTAACTGTCAGGAAGTTCTTCCTAGCACTTAGCCTAAAACTCTTTTGATTTAATTTCAACCCACTGGTTCTGGTCCAACCTTCTGGGGCAACAGAAACCAACTCTGCACTTCCAGTACTTGAAGAGGGTTATCATATCACCTCTCAGTCATCTCTCTCCAGGCAGAGAAAGAGGTACTTTTCTCCCTTTCTCACAATACAAGAACTCGTGGGCCCTCAATGAAATTGCTGAGCAGTCAGGTTAGAACAGATAAAAGGAAGTACTTCTTCACCCAAAGAGTGATTAACACATGGAATTCACTGCCACAGGAGGTGGTGGCGGCTACAAGCATGGATGGCTTCAAGAGGGAATTAGATAAGCTTATGGAGCAGAGGTCCATCAGTGGCTATTAGCCACAAGGGATAGATAGGGGCTCTGGGGCAAGTGATGCTCTCTGTTCTTGGTGCTTGGGGGGGGGGCAACAGTGGGAGGGCTCCTAGTGTCTTGGCCCCACTGCTGGACCTCCTGATGGCACCTGGTATTTTTGGCCACTGTGTGACAGAGTGTTGGACTGGATGGGCCTTTGACCTGATCCAACATTGGCGTCTCTTATGTTCTTATGTTCTTATAGGACTTGGTATCCAGACCCCTCACCAAAATCGTTGCCCTCCCCTGGACACGTTCCAGCTTGTCTATATCCTTTTTACATTGTGGTGCCCGAAACGGAACACAATACTCTAGGCGAGGTCTAACCAGAGCAGAGTAAAGCGATACCATCCCTTTGCGTGATCTGCTGGACTTCAACAAGGAATTCTTTTCAGGCTTTCCCCCCAGCCATGTGCTCTCAAACTGAGACAGGTTCAACCAGCTAAGGAAGTGGGGGAGATTTTGAGATGGACGGCTGGGTTCATTCATTGAAATGGTTTCTATCCCGCTTTTCCTAACAGTTAGATTCAAGTCCAGCAGCACCTTAGAGATCTTCGAGAGTCAATGCTCCCTTCATCAGATAAAAAGGAGGAATGGAGATCTCCAAGTTCTTTTATCCTAGTAGAAGAATGTGGGCAGGGAGGGGGTGTGTGTCAAGAATGCTTGCAGAGGTACCCTGCCTATTGTAGCCAGCTTGATTGGAGCAGAGGGGAAGTGCTTGGGGGCAGACGGTTAGCATCTGTAGTGAGATAAGAGTCTTAATGTCTCTATTGGGGGGTCCATTGTTCTGAATCTGTGAATCATAACAATGGACCTCCCCCCCCCTTTGTTCTTTACAACACCGGTCCCAACTTCTGACTGGGATATACCCTGAATTAGATGGCCCAGTCTAGCCCGATCTTATCAGATCTCGGAAACTAAGCAGGGTCAGCCTTGGCAAGTATTTGGATGGGTGACCTCCAAGGAATACCAGGGTCGCGATGAAGAGGCAATGGCAAACCACTTCTGAAATGCCTCTAGCCTCAAAAACAAGTATAGCTTGCCACCTAGTGGTGCCTAGCGCTGACAAGCTAGAACTTCTGGCTGCCAGACAATCCTAGGATCCCCTGGCTATACTACACACAATGCCATATGATAATGATAATCATCATTACTGGGATATAGAGACGACAAGATCTCCATTCCTGCAGCCAGTTTGGTGTCGTGGTTAGGAGCGCGGACTCTAATCTGGGAGAACTGGGTTTGAGTCCTCACTCCACCACATGCAGTGGCTGGTGTGACCTTGGGTCAGTCACAAGTTCTCGCATAGCTCTTCTCTCAAGATTTATATGCTTGTATTATATTTACATTGCTGGAACCTGCCCTGAGCCCGTCAAGGGGAGGGGGAGGATATAAATCCAAATAAATAAATAAATAAATAAATTCAAAACCCTGAAGAGTTCAGGGGTGGAGCCTGAGGAGGGCGGAGTTTGGGAAAGGGCGGGACATCGGGGGGAAACAAGGCCATAGAGTCCACCTTCCAGAGCAGCCATTTTCTCCAAGGGAACTGATCTTGGTCATCTCAGGAGAGATGTCCAGGTGCCACATGGAAATTGGCAACCCTACCTAGGTTGGAAAGCCCCCTCCCCCCCCCCGCTTAAGAGCGCCTCCATCCCATCTGGGCTCAGCTTCGGCATATCAGTGTCCCCTGCCAACCCATGGCCACCTCCAGACATCTGTTTGGCTTATCCACCGCACCACCTGACTCCCACGGAGGAGAAAGACAGCTGAGCATCACCGGCACAGTGCCGACGGCGGTGGCGGAAAACACCCTCAAGTCGCAGTGGATTTAAGGTGACTCTGTAGGGCTTTCAAGGCAAGAGACTTCAGAGGTGGTCTGCCATGGCCCGCCTCTGCCTAGCAACCCTGGGCCTTCTCGGTGGCCTCCCATCCAGGGCCGGCCCTGCTTAGCTTCCGAGATTTATTTACTCCACTTTTATCCCACTCCTTTCCCCGCCAAGCAGGGCTCAGGGCGGCTCAGATCTGGTGACATCGGGCATGCCTGGGCTGCCCAGGTCACAGGCCCAGTGTCCCCTCTCAGCTGAGTTGGTGTGAGCCAGCTCACAGTTTTTTTAGCCTCCAGCTCACAGATTTCTGTCTCAGCTCAGGAAGGACGGCTCCAGAGCAAACGGATTCGTGCCGCCGCCACCACGTCGCTTGCTCGCAACTTTAATGCCAGTAGCTCACCGAGTAGAATTTTGGCTCACAAGACGCCACAGCGTAGAGGGAGCATTGGTCACGGCACGGCGAGAATGCCTCACCCCAAATCCCCAGATGACGCCAGCCAGTGGGTTGACCTACTGGAAACCATCCATGAGACACACTCATTGCGTTCAGAGGGGCAGGGCTCTTTTTGTAGAAAAAGCCCAGCAGGAACTCATTAGCATAATAGGCCACACCCAACAGCAAAACTCATTAGCATATTAGGCCACACCCTGACCGCACAGCTCATTAGCACATTAGGCCACACCCCCATGTTACCAGAAGTGTGCTCATCCAGCCACACCAACATTTTGCTTCTTATTCTGTTTACCTTGTTTGTTGTCAAAACCCAGGGCCTTTTTTTGTAGCAGGAACTCCTTTGCATGTTAGGCCACACACCCCTAATGTAGCCAATCCTAATGAGTTCCTGCTGTTGGGTGTGGCCTATTATGCTAATGAGTTCCTGCTGGGCGTGGCCAACTCAGGAGCCAGCCGGAACTCCGTTCCTGTGCGTTCCTGCCCAAAAATAGCCCTGCAGACGGGCCATTTGAGCCGGTATAGATGCCGGTTGGAAACGGAGTACTTACGCGCGATCACACAGGCAACATCTGCCTCCCGTCCCGAGCCGTCGCTAACCGTCCCAAACACTCTTTAAACCAATGTCATTTGCTACTAGGTCCCCAAGTGGTGTTTTCCTGAGGGCTCCGGTTCCAGCTGCCTTTTCCCTGTGTGATCGCTCTCCGTCCATGTAGAGCCACTTCCACTGGGAAGCCAGAGGCTTCCGCTTTCCCCTTTTCCCCGTCCCACCCCCCCCCCCCGCCGCCCCAGCGTTAATAAAACAAAAAAAAAAAAGGTGATTAGTTTTAGGCTTTGGACGAGTCTGGGACCCCATGGAGGCCCTTTTCGCTGTAAAAGTTTAAAGGGCAGTGTTCCTTCTGGGCATGCTTTTCGGAACAGGGTGTTCTGCGCCTGCGCAAAGATCTCAATTCTGTGGATGGCTGCCTATGCGCATGCACAAAATGTAAAATAATAATAATTTTAAAAACCGCCGACACACACTACTGCGCGCCTAGTGTGGACGCCCAGGAGCGATGTGTTGCGCGGTGAGGGTGACCGCGCTTGCCCCAGATCAAATTAGTCCACTTGGATCCGGAGCAGTTTAAACTGCTCCCGGCAGGCCGTCTGACCACACCCCAAAAGAAGGAAAGGCATTGGAATGGTTCCTCCGTGGGAGCCATTCTCTCTCTGTATTACCTGCTTTTAGCTCCTCCACTTCCTTTCGAACCTTTTCCGCAGCCTCCGGGATGGCTTGATGATACGGCACTGTGGGGAGAGACAGAGGTGGGTGCCCTGGGCCCGGTTCTTCCGGTAGGAAAACCTGCACCCCTTGCTCACAGAAGGAGAATTTGGGTCTCCTGGGTGCATCCCGGAGCTGAGAACTTTTAGGCTGTTCAGGTTTCTCCCCCACCCCCACTACTTCCCTTTTTCATCCTCTGCCCCCCGCTGCTCCCCCCCCATCTCAGTTCAGAGGAACAGATCCTCCCCCACATTTGCATTTGTATCCCGCTTTTCTCGCTGAGACTCAATTACAAAGTATTGTTTAAAGGTTCGGTCCAATAAACAATGCAGTAGGACTGATGGAGATGAAGAACGGTCTAAGGCACCGACACACCTCATTTTGGGAGATATTTTTGCTGGATTCGGTGGCTCGTATTCTCCCATAAGGAGCACTGCTAATTTGGAAACCTCCCTGCAGGCGAAGGAACCCGGCTCTAGCGGAAGACTTCTGAGCTGAGCGATAGTTAGGGGTGGTCATCTCTGGGTTGGGAAATAACTGGAGATTTGGGGGGTGGAACCTGGAGGTTGGCAACTCTAGGTAGGATAAAAAGGTAAAGGTAAAGGTTCCCTTGCTTGAAAGCCAGTCGAATTCGACTCTAGGGTTGCGGTGCTCATCTCCGTTTCAAAGCCGAAGAGCCAGCGCTGTCCGAAGACATTTCCGTGGTCATGTGGCCGGCATGACTAAACACCAAGGTGCACGGAACGCTGTTACCTTCCCACCAAAGTGGTCCCTATTTATTTACTTGCAATTTTTTGTTTTCGAACTGCTAGGTTGGCAGGAGCTGGAACTAGAGACGGGAGCTCACTCCATCATGTGGCACACTCGGGTCTCGAACTGCTGAACTACTGACCTTCCGCAGCCTGCAGTTCAGCGTCTTAACCACTTGAGCCACCGCAGCTCCCTAGGTAGGATGCAAGCCAATTTTTTAAAAATGGCGTTTTTCTGGGCTGCCTTCTTCATCCACCCCCTTGCTCTGTTTAGATGATCAGGTTTTTCTTTCTTTTCCATCTCAGGAGTGCATAGACCCAATGAAGACTAAGATCCCGCGTGCACGTAGCATCACAGAGTTGGGAGGGACCTCCAGGGTCATCTTGTCCAACCCCCTGCACAATGCAGGAAATTCACACCCCACACACACACACAGACTTACCAACTTACCTGGGAGTCTTTCCCACTGGAATCCATGAGGACATGCATCCAGGGAAGCCCACAAGGTTGGCAAATATTGCTTTTTAGCCACCTTTGGCCCCTGTAACAAGGTCTGCTATAGATCTGCATAGGCAGGAGTTCTGGGAAGAATCGGTACCCACCCTTGGCCATGCCTCTCTCTTCCAGGTAAAAGATGATCCTGGCAAAAATGTCTTTCAGCTTTTCCATTTCGAACACACCTGGGGAGATGAGACAGATGGTGATGAGCTCTCTCCCACCCTCCCTAAGGGGTTAAGTCCCCAAAGACTTGGGGCTGGGAGAAAAGAGGCGGGGCTTTCTGCTTTAGGGA